ACCACCTTATTTTTAAGACTTTTCTGTGGAATTTAAAGAAATGTTTGTAACAGAAAGAATTGCTGAAGTAATTCAGTCAATAACAAAAGACATAAAGCATTACTTTGCCCTCTGACTTCCTTTGCAATACAACATTGTCCTCATTACCAAAGATGGAATAATTAAAAATAGTGCGCAAAGTCAAGATAAAGTTGAAACGTACAAAAATAATTCTGAAATAATAACCACAAACCAAATGACCATGAGTTTATGTACTTGCCATCCAGCAACATCCCAAGATAAGAAATGTTCTTCCTAACACCCAGGGTGATACATATTTAAAAAGAAAAGTCAACTAGCAACACACATCCAATCTAACAAGCAGTTTAAAATTTAAAAGTATCACACTACACCAATTGACCTCAAAGTTCAGACACAAAGTTTCTCCTGTAGATGTTTTTGGGAAAACAGATAACTTAAATTCCTCTTATAATAAACGTGTTAAAAATACAGCTGAAATTTCCCCTGTAGGAATATAATGGCCACCTCTGAAAGGAAAAACAAAAACAAAGCACTTGTCATATCCAAGAGTAAATGCCAAAATAAAACCATACCTAAGGAAAACCCTTTCTCAAGCAGCAATGGGATGAAACATTCATCTACTGAAGCACCTCAGAGCAGAGACCAAGGAGACCAGAAATTAGAATGCTGCGGTTTCTCCTAATAAAAGGTTTCAAGTTTCTTCTAAGAAGTGAATCTAAATCTTTTTTTTAAGCAATTTATCAAAAAAATTAATACACAGAAGATTGTCAAAAAGACTCCAAGAAATCTTTAGAAAGTTTAACCACTTGTCCAAGACCCTTCAGATACAGTCAATTTAGCCTGTAGCTACAGGAACAGACCAAATCCCTTTAATTTCAACTCAGCTCTAGAGTGTTTTTATGACCTGTGGCACACATTCAACCAGTCACGACACTATCTTTTGGATGTGAAAAAAATCTCCAGCAGCTCAAACTCCATTACGCAGTTTGAAAAGTACAAACTATAAGGGTAAGCAATGTCATGCTAAGACGTACTGTTCTAAAATTCCTAAACCTAGTTTTATCTTCAGCAGCACATCCCTCCATTACATGGGCTGATAATGGAACCCCTGCTATTCAAGTATTGATCCTCAATAATCATGCCAAAATAAAGATCCTAAATGACTTAAAGAAAATCACTGATTCCTATCAAAGGAATGCCACTGAGTTCCAAGCTTTACACAGAGGAGGTGGGACAGTTGTAGGGAAGCAATTCAGAACGCATGCCCCAACCCACCCCCCAACTCCTTCCAATCCCTGAAAGCATCTCCCCTTCACTGTTAATAAATTATGGCTAAATTGACTCATACCCCTCCCTCCCTCCCTATTTTTCTTCTCAAAACATTCTTCTCCCTATAACTGTAATCTGCTCCCTGCCTCAGTCTGGTGAATTTTCCAACCAGCTGCTTCTATAGTACTATCCTTACCCAAAATACGTTCCCCTAATTGTTACATCCTAAAGGAACTTTCCTTTGGATCAGCAAAATATTTCAATTCAATTCCACATTTCTTAAGCCCAGAAAGGCACTAAGGCAGTAGGCTTCAAAAAAGAACCGTTTGGAGCAGCTAGGTGATGCAGTGGACAGAATACCGGTCCTGGAGTCAGGAGGACCCGAGTTCAAATTTGGCCTTAGACACATTAACACTCGATAGCTGTGTGACTCTGGGCAAGTCACTTAACCCCAACTGCTTCATTTAAAGAAAAAAAAAGAGCCCTGGACTGGGATTTAGGAGACCTGAGTTCTAGTCTAGGTCTGCTTCTAGCTATGTGACTATAAGTCAGTTCAGATTCAATTCAAATTCAGTTCAAATTTGACAGCCAAACCTGGCTGTCAAACTCTGAAAATAAATGACCAAAGAGTCACAGGGGTTATGCAACTGCTGTTAACTCTGAGAAATATCAAAAAGCACACAGAGGTAATACTCCAATTGTTAATTCTGAAAAATAAATTAAGTCATTTCAGTTCAAATTCCTTGACCTGGCATTAAAGGTTCTCCATAATTGGGCACCACCTTACTATCTTTAGCTTTTATCTCATGCTACTCCACTGTGAGCACATGGTCCTCTAACCAAATAGATAGAATCTCCACTAAAATACAGACTTCTCAAGCTTCTGTGCAGTTGTTTTATTCTATATACCTAGAATGTGCTCCCTGCCTCTCAGACTTGTGAATTTTTACTCACCTTTTAAAGCCTTCCTGGTGCCCTAATCAATTACCCCTCTCTTTAGTCTTTATTCAGCACTATTTTGTACCTGTTCATTGTTTATTACCTTATCTGTGCTTGTACTATACTACTAGTCTATAAACACTGTAAGGGCAGGATCCAGGCCTGAACTGCATATCTTACCTAGCAACTAGTACAGTGCTATGTACACAACAGGCTCTTCATAGGATCATAGGATTTAGAGTTGTAAGAGATTTTAGGGTCATTAAATGTAATCCCCTCATTTTGGAGAAGAGGAAACCATAAGCCCAGAGTCCCAAGGGCACACAGTAATAAGTAGCAGGGCCAGTATCAGCCCAAGTCTTTTGACCCTAAATCCCCAAAACTCCTTCTCCAGGCTTCAGCTTCCTTATCTTAAAAAAAAGAGAATAACATTTGTAGCACTTCTGGTGGAATTTTTTGGTGAGGCTTGGTTCTCACTCTAAGAAAAGATGAGGGAGGAAAGGGGAGGATAAACCATAATAAAAGCTAATAGTAATTAGAAACACTGGAGGTAACATAGTATAGAGAAATTAAATTAGTGCTGGACTTTAGGAGACCTGACTCTAGCTTCCGATGCTCACTTACTGTGTGTACATTCTCTCCAATCACACAGTCACCACCCTAGTTACAGGCCCTCATCATCTCTCACCTGACTACAGCAATAGTCTTCTAATTGGCCTCCCTGTTCCAATCCAGCCTCTACTCTACTGCCAAAAGTGATTTTACTAAAGCAAATGCATGACATCATACATACCCTCTACTCACTAATTTCCGGTGGCTCCCTCTTACCTTTGAATCAAATTTAAAGTCCTTGGTTTGGCAATCATAGCATTTTACAACCTGATTCCTTCCTACATGTCCAGTCTTCTTAAATTTTTCTCCTCTCCTTTCTATGGTCCAGCTACACTGGCCTATTTACATTTCCTTGAACAGGACTCTCTGTCTCCCAACTTTGTGACTCTGTCCTGGCTGTTTCCCATGTCTTTGCCTCGGCTTCTTAGCTTTCCTGATTTCCTTCAAGATTCAGTTTAAACGCCACCTTCTGCAGGAGGCCTTACCTGATCCCCCACAACGATACTTACTTCCCTCTGAGATAACATTCCATTTACTTTATCTCTATCTTGTATGTACGTAATTATTTGCATGTCATTTCCCTCATTAAAATGGGAGTTTCTTGAGGAAAGGGACCTTTCTTTGCCTTTATTTGTACCTCCAGTGCTTTAGCAATGTTGGACACAAAGTAAGTGCTTAATTCTTGTTAACCGATGCTGACTGACCATTAGCAAGTCTCTTCACCATTTTTTCCTTCTCTCTAAAATAAAGAAACTATAATTTGTACTACCTACTTTAAAGGGTTGTGAAGAAAGCACTTTGTTGTGTTATTAACACTGAGAACTGTGACAACTGAACAAGGAATGAAGATACAAGCAGCACGACTCATTGAAAGAGAGTAATATTTCGAGAAGAGCAGCATGGGAGTCAAAAGATCTGCATTCTAAACACAGCTCTGTCACGAATTCTTTATGTGACTGTAGGCAAGTTACTTGCTCTCTCAAAGCCTCAGTTCCTCCCTGTCGCAGGAAAACTGGAGTTGGTCTGGATGATCTTTGTAGTATTGCAGAACTGGGGAGTTGGAAAGGACCTTACAGATTCCCTATTCCAATCTCCCTCATTTTGCAGAAATGGAAACTGAGGCCCCGAGAAAGTACCTTTCAAATACTAGGCACTTATGAATGTTTAACTGAAGAAGAACCGACTCAGGGAATACACAGGTAGTAAAAGAACCATGATTCCCACAAAGGTCCTTTTGACTCCAGGATCCGAGTGTCTGAAGAAGGGACTCCTCCAGGGTCCCAGAGCAACTGGGTGCTGAGAAAGGGCTGCCCGGCACCCACCGCGCCCCCTTGCCTCCACCGTTGCAAGGACGCTGTTTGGGGGGCTAACGGGGTCGGGGGAAGAGGGAAAGGGGCCCCGAGGGCAGGCCGGGGGAGGGTGTCCCAAGGGTCTCCCTGTTCTGAGGTTAGAATCCTGGAATGTCAATGCTGGAATGCCCCCTAGGAATCATAAGATGTCGAGCTGGAAGGACTCTTGAAGATCATCCAGTTCCAACTCTCTCATTTTACAGAAGGAGAAACTGAGGCTCGGAGAGCAGACGAAACTTGCACAGAGTCCCAGGGCGGATTAACATTCAAGCCACTTAGCTAGAATCAGACCCCCTGACTCCAAACCCACCTGAGGGTCCCCTCCGCTCGGCTCTGCCCAAGTCCGGGAAGGCTCCCCAGAGGCGGCGACGCCGGCAGGCTCTGAAGGAAGCGGAGACGCCCGGTGTTCGCGGAGCGTCCCTTCTCCGGGCCGGGGCTGCCTTGTCCCCTCCGGCCCCCACCCTCCACCCCCTGCTTACCTGACAGAGCCCCGGTCAGGCCGGGCTCCCCCGTCCCACGAGCCCTTCGCAGGGAGGCCGCTGCGGCCACACCGCCGTTCCCCGAGCGTTCGCCCGTCCGCTCCTCTCAGCAGCCGCGGGGGAAAGCAGCGGTAGTGGCGGTGGTGGCGACAGCGGCTCCGGCTCCCCCCAGCGCAGACCCCGCAGCAGCCGCAGCCATCTTGGCACATCCGGCTCCGGTTGCCTCGGCCGCCGCCGCCGCCGACGTGTCCGACCCTTACGTCACGGCGTGACCCTGCTTCGTCCCGCCCCCCGACGCTGGCGTCCCGGCCTTCGCGGAAGTGGGGAGTAATTTCTTGCCGGGGAAAAACTATCCAAGTTCTCTCTGCAGAGTGAGGTGCGTGGAGGAGCAAGATTCCTTACCCCACAAGTTAATGTGAAAAATCTATCTTGAAGGTTGGTTCCCGTGCCCTTCGCCAGGGAGACTCGGCTATTTCCGTTAATTACGGAGAGAACCGAAGCTGGGGAGGGTTTTAAGTGCGCGTGCGCTATAGTTCGGCTTTTTTTTTTTTTCCCGTCGAAAGCCGAGGAACTTATGGACTTAGGTAGGAGACGGTGGCTGAATTTTTGACACATGCGCAGAACATCCAAAGTCCTAGTCAATAACAATCGAAGGTTTCGAAAACCTAGACTCTCCTAGTTACTTACACAAGCCTGTTTATCAGCTGTGTTCGTTTTCCTTGAGTTCAGAAGTTCGAATCCCGCGCTCGGGAAACTAGTTTATATTAATTGAATCATAGATCTGGAGCTATAAGACATCTCGGAAACCATCTACCCCAAACCTTTATTTTACAGTTTAGGAAATTGAGGAATTGAATTTAAGAGATTTGCCCAGTGTCACAGAAGTAGGCAGAGGCAGCATTTGAACCCAGATCTTCTGACTCCAAATGCAATGCCTCTTGCCTTCAGGATGAGGTCAAGGAGAGAGATAGAACAGATGAAAGGCTATCAAAATAAAATCTGCTTTTGATTTTTGTCAAAGCATCGTAGTGATGCGTTCTGTCTGCCTTTGCTTTATGATGTTGGACTTAGGAGTTAATGAAACCATGTGGCCTTGATCTAGTCCCTTAATCTCTCTAGGCCGCAGTAACCTCATCAGTAAAATGAGGGGGTTGGATTAGATGATCTCAGAGGTGCAATGGTCTAGAAAATAGGGATTGAGAAAGGTATGGTGGACTCCGTAACAAGTTCACTGTTGGAGTTTTAGAATAGAGAACAGTTTTGCAAGCTTGGCCTCAGTAGGTGATTGCATCACCCACCAAACCTCACATGCTACTAATGCTGTTTAGTTTTTTCTTTAGCAGATGGGCAGAACACCTCCTTACGTTGCAAAAAATGACTCAGAGACCTTGACTGTTGTAAGACATTAAGTGAAAAAAATAGTTTTGTTGTTTGTCCCCCCCCCTACCCTTTTGAATTAACATGATCAAACAGAGCTACTTCACTTTGTTGTGATCTTGAAAAGGGGTTTTTTGTTTGTTTTTGGAAAGTTTAAACAGATCTAGTGTAGCAAACAGTCATTTCTGGTAAGTTAACATTTACATTAAGGAATCTTTTCTACTTTAATTCAACAAGTCATTATTTGAACAGGGTGGTGCCCAAAACCCTGAGCCAGGTGCCATGAAAGCATAGATTGAAAATAAATAGCTCTTTTGTCACAACTTGGGTGAGGTGGATAGTGTATTATTATTCCCATTTTACAGATGATGAAACTAAGTCCCAGAGGGATAGGGCTTGCCCAAAATCAAACAGCTAGTAAGTGTGCCAGCACTTGAACCCGAGTCTCTACTCCTTGCCCAGCCTACTTTTTCCACTATCACAGACTTCTGCTCAGAAAAGATTACAGTCTTGCAAGAGAGGCAAGGCTAATATTCATAGAACAATTTAGATGACAATATAAAACAAAATGTGATGGGCTGGCCAGATGTAGTAGGGCCAATATAAGTACTCTAGAAGTTCAGAGAAGAGAGGAGCAAATGTAAAGTTCTCTTCTTGGAGTCCTTGAAGGTCAGTTATCCGGAGGTAGCAAACAAAAGTAGAAAAATTGATATTGTTTCCTGGTAAAAGCTTCAAGCTTTTGCACAGAATCAAAAATTCTTAGTTTGACGGGGGACTTCCACCTGGTTACAGATCATCCCGAGGTAGATATGAGAATATGTCCTATTGCAGTAACCTTCTGATTGGGCTCCCTACCTCAGGTCTCTTCCAACTTCAGTGCAGCCTCCACTCGTTAAACTGATCTTTCTAAAGTACAGATCAGACCTCTCCTTCATCATCCCATTTACTAAACTCATATGACTCCCTATTTCTTCCCAGATCATATATAAAATCCTCTGTTTGATTCTTAAACCCCTGCATAACATGGCTGTTTCCTACCTTCCCATTCTTCTTACACCTTACCCTCCTCCATGTACTTTACGATCCACAGACGCTGACCTCCTTGCTGTTCCTTATCCATGACGCTGAACATTTTTATTGGCTGCCCAGAAAGCTCTCCTTCCTCATCTCTGCCTCCTAGCTTTTCTGGCTTCCTTCAAGTCTCAGCTAAAGCCCTACCTTCTGCAAGAAGCCTTTCCCAGTCCTCCTTAATCTTAGTGCCTTTCATCTGAGACTGCCTCCAATTTATCCTATGTATATCTTTTTTGTACCTAGTAAGGGCTGTTTTTTGGGGAGAGGGAGGTGTTGAGGTAGAAGTGGAAGGTTTACCTTTTGTATCCCTAGGGTTAACAATAACAATAATAGCTAACATATAGGACCTCCAGGCACTGTGCTAAGCGCTTTACCAAATAAATTATTATCTCATCCTCACGGACAACCCAGGAGGTAGATACTATTATTACCCCTATTTTACAGATGAAGAAACTGTGACAAACAGAGGTTAAGTGATATATCCAGGGTCACGCAGCTAGGAAGTGTCTAAAGCCAAATTTCAATTCAAGTCTTCCTAACTCCAGGCCTGGTGCTCTATCCATTTTGCCACCTAACACTTAATAGGTACATAATAAATTCTAGTTGATTTACTACTTGTTTTGAAGACTCTCCCAAGGGAACTTTGATAATTTATTTACTGTGTAACCTTTGATAAATCACTTCCTCCTATCTGGGCCTCATATTCCCCTGTCTCAAAATAAGAGGTTTGGACTAAATGGTTTCCAAGGTCCTTTTCAGCTCTGATTCTATATAGATTAATTGGTGCTTGAATGAAAGCAGGTTGATTTTCTAACTGGGTATCTAAAGATGACCTCCTATAGTTGCTTCCATGGAACCAGAGTGAGGGGGTGGGAATGAAAGCCATTAGGGACTGACCCTTTTGATGGGGAGGAATGAAAACCTAGATATAAGCAATAGCCAAGTTGTCTCTATATGACTTGGTAGCCAAGATACAAGGGGCTCAGGATAGAAGTTTAAAGAGAAAAACCCTCGGTTTATTAAGTTGGAATGTGTATTCTTTTTTATTCCTTTAAAAAAAAACAGGCAGCTAGGTGGCTCAGTGGATAGAGCACCAGCCCTGGAGTCAGGAGGACCTGAGTTCAAATGTGCCCTCAGATACTTGACACTTGCTAGCTGTGTGACCCTGGGCAACCTTGAGTGCCTCCACCAAAAAAAAAAAAACAAACCACAAAAAACCTTTCAAACATGCAAAAAAAATCTTTGAGTTTGCCATATCTACCAACAGTGAGATTGACTGATTGTTCTCTACCCATGTATATTTGGTAAAGAGTTTAAGATTTCTTTAAGTAATCATGACTTTAGAAAAGTATCATGATGTAGTGAAGAAAAGGCTGCCCTTGAAGCCAGGAAGATCTGGATTCAAGTGCTACTTTTGACTCATACTGGCTGTGTGACCTGAGCAAGTCACTTACCCTCTCTGTGCCCTAAGGCAGTGGCAGGAAACTCAAATAAAAACACGGATTGCTAAGCTGTCCAAAAGGTTCCCTGTGGATCAATCAGTGAATGGCCCCAAAGAAGAGGAAGGAAGAAGAAACAAACTTTTAGAGGAGAGAGCCACCCCACTCCCTCACAGAGATAGAAAGTCATGGGTATGGAACAGTGCATATGTTTTCAGTCTTTTAATGATGTATTAATTTGTTTTACTGATTTTTTCTTTTTACTCTTCAAAAAAATAATGACTCTCTGGGAGGGAGGAGGGAGAGTAATAATGGGAAAAATTTTTGCAATGTAAAAACCAGAAGATCAATAAAATTTTATTTTTTGAGGCAGTTTGGTAATGTAATATATAGCGCATTGAGCCTGGAATCAGGAAGATTCAAATTCAGATCTGGCCTCAGACTGGTCACTAGCTATTTGACCCTGGGCAAGCCACTTAACTTCTTTGCCTCAGTTTCTTCATTTGTAAAATAGGGATAATATAACCCACCTTGTAGGGTTGTTGTAAGGATCAAATGAGATAGATCATAAAGCTCTTAGCATGATGCCTGCCACAAAGTGAATGCTATATAAATTCTAGTTATTATTATTAGCCAGGTAGCTATTATTATTTTAAAAGTAAAAATTCTAACAGTCAAGGGAAAAAAGACTATTACAGCCCTTTAGACGGGAGGTGATGAAAGTCTAAACTAGGGTGGTAGCTGTGCAAGTGGAGAGAAAAGGGGCAGCTGTGAAGAAAGAATCAGCAAGGCTTGGCAGCTGGCTGGTTATGGGGGGGAAGGGGCTGAGGGAGGATGAGGGGTTGAGGAGGACACTGAAATTGTGACCCAGGAGGCTCAAAGGCTGGTGTTACATTCATAGAAATAGGGAAATTGAAAGAGGGGGTGGATGAGGAGGTTAATGTAATGAGTTCTGCTTTGATCGAGTTTGAGATGCCTATAGAACATCCTTTTTGAAATGTTTAATTGGTGGTTGATGATGCAAGACTGGTACTCTGGAGAGAGTCTAGAGCTAGGTTTATAGATCTGAGAGTCGTCTGTGTAGAGATGATCATTGAAGTGATGGAAGCTGATGAAATCATCAGGAGAGAAAGAAGAGAGGAGGGCCAAGGGCAGAGACCCTTGGGGTATTGGCATAATTAGGGGACATGACACAGAGGATATTCCAGCAAGGGATAAAGAGAAGTGAAACAAGTGAGAGGAGACCCAAGAGAGGTCAGTGTCACAAAAACCCAGAAAAGACAGTGTCCAGGAGGAGGGGGCAGTCAACAGTGTCAAATACCACATAAAGGTCAGGAAGGAAAGCTCTGGCAATTAAGAAAGTATTAGTGCCGGAAGGCTTGCATATAAACAAACGTGATAATAACACTGGTGATGGAGCTATAAATTGAGCTGACCATTTTAGAAGGCAGTTTGGAATTATGCCCTGCTAGGCATATACCACCTATCCCTGCTTCCCGCCCTCCTCTCCCCTTTTCCCCCAAAACCAGGTCATAGAGAGAAAGAAAGGTTCCAGATACACCTAAAATATGTACAGCAACTTTTGTTGTTGTAGCAAAGAACTGGAAACCAAGAAGTTTGCAAATCTGCCGGGGCATGACTAAGCAAATAGTGGTATCTGAATATGACAAAACATTACTCTGCTGTAAGAGATAATGAATTTGAAGAATTCAGAAAAACTTGAGAAAACCTATATGAACTGATACAGAGTGCAGCAAGCGGAACCCCAAAAAAAGTCATACAAAATGACTACAACAATGTAAATGGAAAGGAAAAAAATGAAATTGAATATTCTACATTCAGCCTGGTCCTAGAGAATAGATGAGAAAATGTACTTCTCTCCCTTCTTTGCAGAGGTGGGGAACTCTGGGTACAGAACATTGGTTGATGTGTTGGTTAACTTGCTGAAGTTATTTTTTTCTCTTTGCTACAAGAGATGGCTTGTTGGGCATGGAAAGGAAATATTGTGATGTAAAAACAAAAAATAGCAATGAAAAAATTTTAGATGACAGTATAACAAAGTCACTGGTAACTTTGGACAGAGCAATTTCAGTTGACTGGTGAGTTGGAAGCCAGATTGCAAGTGGTTGAGAATTGAGTATGAGGTTGAGAGGTAGACAGAGAGAAAGGAAATTTTTTTAGGAGTTAGGCTAAGAAAGGATGGCAATGTCAAGTGAGGGTTTCTTTATTTTGTTTTGTTTTGTTTTTTAAGATGGAGGACACCCATGTATGTTTGGAAGCAGCTGGAATTGAGCCAGTCTCTTCAGTGTGAGGGATTGCATCAGCCCCTATTACATATGGCTAGGGAATCAGAGAGAAGATGAGAGGATGAAGGATTAGAAATGAGGTGACAAGATATAGGGTGAAAGGAGGGAATATTGGAGAATAGGGGTTAAATTATTATCCAAAGTGTCTATAGGTGATGAGAGGCTGATGAGGGTTTGGGATAGGGTGGGTAGATGAGGATAAGGGAAATGGGTGAATGAAAAATGAGGTTTCTGGGGCACAATGGAGAATTCCAAGCTACCGTAGCTAAGTGGGAAATGAAGGTAGATGTATCTGTTTTGCACTGCCTGGTTTCTATTCCTTGGAAGAAGCTCTTCTATTCTCATCATTATGCTGCTAACACAAGCCTGGATGCCACCTTTCTCAGACCCCTCTCTCTTCTGAATGGAGGGCTGGAGGGTGGAATACCTCCTCTCAAAGCCTTCTTTTATGGAGGGCAGATATTGGATTTTCAAATCACTCCACTTTGCATCACCTGCTTTGCTGGGTTTCAGTTCCTTGGGACCCGAAGGTCTGTTGGCTCTCCACGTTCCTTCCAGCTCCCTTTGTGTTTTGTCTTTCCCCAATAGATTGTAAGCTCCTTGAGGGCAGAGACTGTCTTTCTCTTATTTGTATTCCAGTGCCTTGCACGTTGCTTGGCACTTTGTAGGCACTGACCTGGTTATTGAATTGAATTGAATTTCAAGGGAAGGGTACAGCTGGGGTATATTTGGAAGTGACTGATGTAAAATTGAAAGGCATGAATACTACTTTTGAAAGAAAGGACCAAATTCAGGGGCATCCAGCTACTACCATGGCAAGTGAGCTTTAAGTGCACAGTTGTTATGCAGGATAATAATAACCATCCCCAAAGAGGAGAATTTGAAAAATAACCCTTACCACTTGGTCACTGTTATTAAAGCCACATAGATTCAAAGGGCTCAATTTGCTTACCCAAATTATATTATTTGAAGAAAATGAAGCAGTAGTGGGAAGTAGATAATCATCACTATCATGCTTGAACAGTCTCACCAAACTTATCCAGGTTTTCCCCACAAGAATTTCCTTTCATTCCTGCCCAGCCAGCAAGGTCTTTTCCACTTTGAGAAATAGCTAGTTTTTCATTTCCACAAAAGTCCTGTGAAACCTAAGGAATGAAATCTCAGGGTTAGGTGGAAGTTGAACAAAGGAAGTCATGAAGCAGAATAAAAAATACTATTGGTGAGTGAATAGATTAACCAGCAAAAACCTGTTCTGAATTTAGGTACAGATTAACATATTTGCATACCAAGAAAAGGGGTGCTTGCACACCCAAATAAAGGCAAAAGAAAATAAGGGCCTGGGTCCCTGAATTGTGGGGAGTGGGAAATGTAAACAGGGGCAGGGATTGTAATAGGGAAATTAGGCACTTCAGATAGGCTGTAACCTCTGTAGTACCCAGCCAGTGGGGAAATAGGGGAGGGAAATTCGAATTGGGAATAGGGAATAAAAAGCTGTGTATCTGTCTTAAATGTGTATGCCCACATGTGGGACACCTGACCTTGCTAGGCCATTAATAAAAGTTTTTCTGGTTCACCTCAGTTTACTGTTCTGTAAAGGAGATAATAGTAGAATCCACTTCCCGGTGATGTTGTAAGGATCACGTGATTGTAAAATCATTAGCATATGGTTGACATGACGTTATTATTATCTAATTTAATGTAATTGTTAAAAGTACCAAAAGTAATAAGATCAATAATTTCTATATATGATAATTTGAAAATGCAGTTGATACCATCAGAAGTTTATTGTTTGTGTTTCTAAAATGTATTGTATTTCTAAAATTCTCTTAGATTGTAAAAACTTAAGAGACCCTGACATTTGGGAGAGTTATGCTTATGTAGAAATTTCAAAAGGATGGTGTAGCAAGGAAGGATTTTATGACACAGGATAAAGGGGACAAAGGGAATTCTTATGGTTTAAGGATTTAAAGGACAGGGCATGAGGACACACATTAAAAATTAAAGGACAGGGGAACATAGGATAAGGGACACAAAAGCAATTCTTTTGGTACAGGTTCAAGATAAGGGGGAAAGGACTTTAGGATGCCTTTCAAGTTACAGAATAAGCTGGGGTGACTGGGGAAAGGTCCTAGGAAAGCCTTGATGGGAGTGACTGGGAGGTTGAATGGGGTCTAGATAGGATTAAAGATGGGAAGTAAGGGGGGGGCACCTGGAGGTAAGACAATAGAGGGCAAGGCCAGAAATTAGGGTAACAGAATTAGGCAGTTGGCAAAGGTGATGAGGAAAGGCTAGTTGATAGGATTGTAGCCTCAGGAGACTGCCGTACATCCTTGACCAGGTAAAAGAGTTCAAGTAAAGTTCAAGGAAGGGGTTTTTTTTGAGGGGCCTCTCTTGGGCCCATACCCCATCAGGTGCATGTCTTATTGTGGGGAAACAGCAACTTTGGGGTTGAATTTACTTGAATGGAATAGAAATTGCATTGTTACAGAATTAGGAAAAAAAACCTTTTATTGATAATGGGTTGTTTCAAGTTTTAAATACATTATAATGTGTAAGGTATCATTACATTTCTAAATTGTGCAGTTTGATAAAGTTATATCACCTATTATGTTAGAAAAGCAATTTCTCTTGTAATCTAAATGTTGTTAGATTAAGAATTGTACTGTCAGAGAAAAATGAATAGGTTAAGAAGCTGTTGGGTCATTCTATCTGACCATGTGTTGTAACATTTTGAGGTAGGTACTATAATTAAGAAATCATAAACTTCTAAGTTTCGTCTATATTTAAAGGGAAGTTTCAGCTAAAATTATTTGGTTCTCATTTATGAAACTTAAGATTGTTAACTAAGTTATTTGGAATTATTGTTTAAATCAGTTTTTGTGAAAGGAAACTTGGTAATTATGCAAAGAAAGGACCTTGTAAAATCTCCTTGTAATTAATTTAGTTTGTTATAGTAACAAGATAAACTGTAAGCTGTTTTTAAGAAAGAGAAATACTTTTATGAAGAAATGTTTTGCAAAATCTTTTTTGTGATATTTAGAAGGCCTACTGGATATCCATTTGCAAGCTCATTTATTGCAGTAATAATTTGATATTGATGACAATTATGTCCAAACTTACTGTGAATTTCGAGTTTGTTTTCCTAGGTTTGTTGTGTCCTTGGACTGGCCTTAATGGGTGATTTCTGAGAAACAAAGTCAGAGTCAGCAGCTCAAAGGGAGCAGCATCAGAGGTATTAATACTTAAGCAATTACTGTAGTGAGTTGTAAGTGGAGAAGATCTTGGTATTTTGATCTGAATTGATTCCATGGCCTAGCAGGGGTTAGAATTAGTGTTTAAACTTCTCATATATATAAGATTTAATCCCTGAAAGTGTCTCATTCTTTCAGATTAAGTATGGTCAGAGAAGGATAAATAAGCTTGAGAAACAGAGATGCAAGGGTAGCTAGGTGTCGCAGTGGATAGAGCATCGGCCCTAAAGTCAGGAGGACCTGAGTTCAAATCCAGCCTCAGACCAAACACTTAATACTTACTAGCTGTGTGACCCTGGGCAAATCACTTAACCCAAATTGCCTTTAAAAAAAAAAAAGAAAGAGATGCAAATCTATTAGAGTAGCAACTTATGATCCTAATGGAAATTTGATTTTACTCATGATGTTATTTAATCAGGAACTGGAACACGTGTAGGAACGCATGTAAACTACTTAGGTCTCACTTTAGAGATGTTCCCTAACTAATGTGAGATTATAGTCACACTTAAAACCCTGATGATGAGAATTTGCTATCCAAGATCTTATAGGATTGTTAATGGACTATTATTCTGAATCTAACTCCAGGTATGGTTAGATTGATTAAGCTACTAGCCATGTGGGGGGTGGGGGGAGGGGTCTATGTGCTGCATCTATGCACTGCAGAGAATGTTCTCATAGGAAGGTTGGGAGAACAACTATTCTGCATAAAATGAGGAAGAAGTCTCCTGACCCAATTTCCCCACCATGACACCTGGCAGATTTTAAGCATGATTCAATGCAGTTGGCCATTATATAACTTTTACCTGGAATTGACATGAAGTTAGGAAAGCATTGTTCCCTTACTTTAGTTGTATCCCTATCTTTTATTCCAAATTTCTATAATCATAAGTTTTGTAAGTACAATATCAAATTGAGTATAAGATTGAGCTGTTTGGCCTAGAATTATGTATTCAGCCTTGACATCTGTTAGTAATATATTCCTGTATAAATTAGGGCCGATATGGGGATAATTAGGCCAAGGGTTTGTGAAACCAGGATATTATTCTGTTACGTAATTAATATCAAAGTTGTCTCAGTTTGTTACAGTTGGTTAATGTTAAAAGAAGAATGGCTTGTGGTCTATCTTGTAAATGCCTTAAAAGAAGCATCCATTTTAATAAGAGGTTATTTATTTGTACGTGACCAGAAGTTGGAATTGTTTTATTACTTGATATGTACTGTTTTTAAATTGATTACTCAGTGTCTGTAGGTATTGGAGTCGGTTATTAATTCCTTAGTGGAATTTCATCCTCCTGATGAGGAAATATGAATAAGAATGAATAATAAATTAATGCAAAGCATAAAACCTGGGTTCTAATTTTTCTGTTGCTGCTTTTCTAATTTGAGATTCTTAAACATGACAATTGGCTAAGGTTCCAATTTTGATCTTATAATGCTAAAGACATAAGGGTTGAGTTAACTTTCATTATTTGACCTGGTTATTGGTAAGGTAATTTAAAATTGTTTTAAGATCAATCTTGTAGGAGAGTGGACACAAGAAAGAGGATCTCTACAAGAAGACAGTCTGCTGGACACTGCTTAAACAGCGCCCAGATCAGAAAACTTCATCAGATGATGTCCTAAAAACCAGACAGCTGCATGAGATGCCTTAAATAGACTGTTTATTGTTATTTTTTCCCTTTGGGTCTCTGTATCTGTGCTTTCTAAGAGATCTGCCCCCTTTTGATTTGTATAAGTCCCCAAAACTCCTCCATGAAATGTTGCCCAACAACACAGCCCTGGATGGGACAATTACTAAGGCATGGCAAGGTCTAACCATTTTAGCTGAAGAATTGGCAGAGAACCCTGGGATAGATAATAAATTGACTGGATGGTTAGAGTCATGGTTTGGGAAATGGAAAGGAATGGCAGCATCTAGTTTAACTTCCCTAATAGTAGTGGCTGGGGTGTTAACAGTGGTTGGATGTTGTATAATACCCTGTGTATGAGGACTAATGCAGAGGTTAATGAAACCGCCATTACCAAAGAAATGCCTGTACAGAATAACCTCTGCTTACTTGTGGAAGGAAAGGACAAGGAAGAAGACCTATATGAAAAGGAAAGTGAAAAGGCATTAATCAGATTTGAGGAAGATGTGGAAACAAAATTATGGATGAAAGAAGAGGAAGGAATGTGAGAAATAACTAGTTTTTCATTTCCACAAAAGTCCTGTGAAACCTAAGGAATGAAATCTCAGGATTAGGTGGAAGTTGAACAAAGGAAGCCATAAAGTAGAATCAAAAAATACTATTGGTGAGAATAGATTAACCAGCAAAAACCTGTTCTGAATTTAGGTACAGATTAACATATTCGCATACCAAGAAAAGGGGTGTTTGCACACCCAGATAAGGGCCTGGGTCTCTGAATTATGGGGAGTGGGAGATGTAAACAGAGGCAGGGATCTTAATAGGGAAATTAGGCACTTCAGGTAGGCTTTTACCTCTGTAGTACCCAGCCAGTGGGGAAACAGGGGAGGGAAAATCGAATCAGGAATTGGGAGTAAAAAGCTGTGTATCTATCTGCCGCACGTGGGACACCTGGCCTTGCTAGGCCGTTAATAAAAGTTTTTTCTGGTTCACCAGTAGTTTTGTGGAATTCTTGGTAAGACTTTTTGCCACTTACACAACTAATGAATAAGAATTTTACTGAACAACTAACGACTGCTCCATACAAGGCCTTATCCCAGATGTGAGGAAATGCAAGAAAAGCTTCACGGGCCTGAGATTGGTGAGAAGCTAATGAAAGGCCCTGATATTTGGAAGGACCAGGCTTACATGGACAGAAAGCCTGTGGCTGTTCAGGATGATGTAGTTTTAAGGTTTCATGGTGGTCAAAGATTAAGGATAAGGTAGAATTTATGGCACCAGATGAGGGAGATGGTTATTCACAAGATAAGAGAAAATTTATGACACAGGATGAGGGGAAAAGGACTTTAGGGTGTCCTCAAGGTACAGGAGCTCAAGTTTCAGGAGGAGCTACAGAATGAGCCCCAACACCCCTTCAGGAGAGTCTTTACAAAGTATTAGAAAAGCAACCCTTAATATTCTTTTTAACCCTTAGGGCACTGTATGCTATATCCACATCAAAAGAGTGCCAGGCCTAGAGTCAAGAAGACCTGAGTTCAAATCCAGATAGTTGTTTTGGGCAAGTCACTTAGCCTCTGTTTGCCTCAGTTTCCTCATCAGTAAAATGGGCGTTACAATAGCACCTACCTCCCAGGAATTTGGGGGCACATTGTGTTTTCCTACATGGTCCCTGAACTCTAGGGTGGAGTGGTAATGAGTATGTTAATTTAGGATGAGCAACTCCATTTTGTTTTAGGCATTTTCCATGATAAGATAAGCAGTTGTGTATAGTTTAGCAATACCCATCTGTCCCCCAGATTTGATAAACAATAACTAATGATATATTTGTCCCTCAAAACTGACAAAGATCTGATAATGATTCAAATCTGGTAAACAATTAGCCCCTGCAAATGATGTTAGCTTTGGTTAATAGTTTCCTTTCTCCATAACCTTAGGTAATAGATCAATCACCAATTGGAATTTAGATGTGACTTGTCTATACCCGTAGCCAGAATCATATAAACTCACCTGAGGCCCTAGTCATAATCCTGCTCCCAGTGGGAGTTCCCAGGTAGGACAGATGATTTCTTTCTTTCTCATGATCATCTTCAAATTATGATAAAAACAAAAACAAAAAACCTCTTTTGTGCCGTATGCCCCAATTAGACTTCAGTTGAAGTTTGTTACAGCTTAAAGGGGAACTCCAGTCTGTTAGGGCTAGACTCAAGTGTAAATTAAGTATTTTACATCTTGGCGGCTTTTCTAAGGTTTTGAGTAACTCAGTTCCTAATGAAAAGGCCAGCAAGACAATGCCTTAGGGCACAAACTGCCTTGGTACTTTTGTCCCTAGTCATTTATTTGCCTTAAGAATTTGAGAAAAGTACTAGGATGGTCACAAAAATATTAGGATGGGCTTTCTCAACTAGGAAATCCAGTTTTGAACCCACAATAGCAGTCTCTACTAGAGAGATGACAAACCTCAGAGGCCACACTCTTAAGTGAGTAGAACTGAGGAGGCTTCTGCCAGTCATAGGCTTATGACCTTTGCCCTTTCTGGAAAAAACAAACAAACAGCATTCTAACAGAAAAGTCCAGATGAAGGAGCTTGGTAATATCTAATCAGGCCTGAGGCTGCAGGTGGTTGAGACTGCAGTTGCCCATAGAAGACTGCCCTAGAGACTGGCATCCTGCACTGATGTTTCACACTTTAAGAAGCCAGCCCCAGTGACTGAACCAGCTGACTGATCCAACCTGGCAGCAGCCATGTCCTATGAGTAGTTAGCTGAGCAATTTACCAGCCCAAATGTGTCTAGCAGAGATGCTGTGTGCCCTGTGAGGAGCCAATCCAGTAGCCAAGTGACCCCTCTTGTCATTAGATTGACTCTGTGAGAAGCAAGTCCAGCTGAGCTACCCATTCAACCTAGATGCTACAGTGAACTTCATGAAGACTCTCCAAAAAACCAAGCCCTGCAGTTCTAGTTTCTTGTGTTCCCTGCATGTGTGTATGTATCACTTCAGCTGCACTTTAAATTTGTTCCTACTGATTTTGGGTGTCTTAGTGGGGGAGCATGCCCAAGTTTGGGGGGAGATTGCTTTGTAAGTACTGTTCTTACTATGCCATTTAAATAAATGCCTTTTCAAAGAGGTAATTGAGTCTGTTGGCTGATTGTTCCCAGGAAATCCCCAGATAGGGGCCTATGGATTACGGTGTTAGGAGTAGTTACCCACAGAATAACCTCTAGCACCCAAGATGGCAGTTACCCTTCTCGAGATCCTATTGATTGGTTTGAATGTGAGTTGAGAGACAGCCCAATGAGCGAACTACAAGTAAAATTTAATCCACTAAATATTTGTTATGATGAATGATATATTGGACAGGAGAATGGGACAGTCCTTTGCTCTTGCAAAGATTGTGGTTTAGATAAGGAGAAATAAAAGAAGCACACTAAATAAATATTTGACCACCACCTATTGCCTAGACTTTGTGAGGCATCCACATATACCTAAGGCATGATCCCTTCCATCAAAAACTTGGGGAAACAGGCCATACATATATGTGAACAGTTAGTTTTCAATCACCCTGAATATTTATTAAACCCCTAATATGTGTTAAGCTCTGAGGATACAAAGCTAAAATGAAACTGTCCCTGCCCTCTAGGCTGCAGTGGTATGCTGGAGCTAGGTCATTGTTAGACATTTATCAGCACGTCTGCCCTGAAGCATTCTAGGTGCAGCTAGGTGGAGTGGTGGATAGAGCACCGGCCCTGAAGTCAGGAGAACCTGAGTTCAAATTCAGACTCAAACTAAACACTTGACACTAACTGTGTGACCCTGGGCAAGTCACTTAACCCCATTGCCTAGCCAAAAAAAAAAAAGTTCACATTCTATCCAGGGAGACAATGTGTGTATAGATAGATAGACACAAGGTAACTTGAAGGGCAGAGAAAACACTAGCCCTGGAGAGAATTTGGAAAGGGGCTTAAATGGAGTCTTGAAGAGTTGGGATCTAAGCTGCAGGATTAGGAAGGAGTGCATTCCTGTACTCCATGTAAATTCCATGTAAAGAAGTCCAGTTTGACCACAGGGTCCAAGAGGAAGGGTAACTGGTGTGAAACAGTAGGAGGTAACGTATGATTAAGGCAACATATGATTAAGTGGCAAAAGATGCAAAGATTTTCAGTAGGAAACAGACACCATTTATGGTTCAGTCAAATTTGGGATGGGGCAGGGAATATAAAAGAAGAACTAGATAATTAAGGTAATAGATTTAAAGTTGGAAGGGACCTTAAGACTATCTAAACCAACCTCCTTATTATACAGGTGAGGAAAATGAAGCCCAGAGTGGGCCCAAGTGCCTTGCATAAGGTTACACAGGTAGTTAAGTGGCAGAGCAAATCCTTACCCCAAATCCAGGGCTCTTTCCTGGCTCTGCTAGTATCCAGTTATGTGACCTTGAGGAATTTTACTCCCCATTTCTGGACCTTGGTTTCCCCTTACGTAAAAATAAGGTATTACACTAGATGATTTTTAAGTTTCTTTCCATTTCTGACATTCAGAAATTCCTCTGAGCTGTGATCATGAATTAAAAAATCATCTCTATCAGAGACAAAACACTGCACTGACAGTGCTCTGCCAGCAGGGAGAAGCAAAACCCTGCCAGAGCTCTTCTCTCTGAGGAGCATTCCTCTGGCCCCAGGGAGTTAGGAAACCTTTCTGCTTCCTTCTCATAGTCATAGAATTGGGAGTCTGAAGGGACCCTAAGAGAAAATATATTCTCTCTTCCCTCTTAGGAATCCTCTCTCTATCATTCCTCAGGGATGGATCCTGCATCTGCCACCTGAAACTGACTTCCTTAAGGAGCAAAGGCTTCTAGGTAGTCCTGATTTTTAGCATATGTGGAGTTGAAATCTCCCTCCCTGTAACACTCAGAGGAAAGAGCTAGTAAACATGGTGTAGAGGAGAGCACTTGAAATCAGAAGTCCCAGGTTTGAATCCTGATTATGTCTGGTAGCACTAAATCTGAAATCCTACAGAGATGACATATTAATAAGCTATTAGCATTCCACTCATTGGTTCTGATTCTGTCCTCTAGAATCACACAAAACATTAGCTCCCTCTCCATGATAGCTATCACATATTTCAAGACAATCATCATGTATTAGGACACTACGTAAGATCATAAGTTCATAACAGCTGCTAAGTGTCTGAGGCAAAATTTGAACCTAGGCTTTCCCGGTCTCAAGAAAAGAGCATTATCAATTGAAGCACTTAGTAGCCTCTAAAGTCCTCTCTTTTCCAAGTTAAATGTCTCAAGCTCTTTTGATCTGACCTCCTATGACTTTTGAGTCCCTTCACAAATCTTTTTTAAAATCTTAATTTTTTAAATTGTGAACTTAATTATCAACTATCACAAACATCCCAGTGTATAAAGAACAAAACAAAATTGAATATGAAACTTCAAACTAACTATGATATACTTTGTTTTTAAGCACATGTGCAAGTCAGTAACAAAATTGCCTTGTGTTCTTTTCTGAATACCTTTTTGTTTTCTCTGTATTTTTAATGTTTTATTGATTTCTTTTTTCAATCTCTATCACTTCCCACGACCTCACCACACCTCTTCCCATAGAAGACCTCCCTTATAACAAATAAATATAGTCAAGCAAAACAAATCAATACATTGGCCATGGTTGGCCTTCCCTCTGTTCCTCACACGACACTCCATCTCCCGTCTGTGCCTTTGCATCAGCCACCCCGGGATGCCTGCAATGTCCTCTTTTCTTATTTATGCTTTATAGTCTACCTCCTCCTTTTAAGATGCGGCTCAAGCACTGTCTTCTGCATGAAGCCTTTTCTGATCCCTCCAAATGCTAGTATCCTCCTTCCCAAACTAACTTGTATTTAACTGCTTTGTATATGTTTATATTTACGTACTTTCTAATGTGCTTTTTCTTTATATACTTTTGGTACATACTTGTCTCCTCCATTAGAATGTTAGTTCATTGTGAATTCATTGTGAATTCTTTCTCCTTGTGTCCTCAAGTGTTTAGCAAAGTGAGTGGAAAATGGTTGGTGCTTAAAAAATACTTGTTGATTAATTGATTAATATCTCATTCAGCACCTCTAGTTGTAATCACCTGTGTGCCA